CAATGCTTCATACTTCACTGCACTTGAAAGCAAAAAAAAATTGGGTATGACAGGCGTGCAAGTTCGGCGGAGCCGAGGAGGCCATTTGCAACTGATCTGCACGCAGAACTGACCGATCACACCTTTAATGAGAGCACGGTATTTACTGAACCGAACAATAAAAGACGACAAGAGTATCTCGTCCGGCGAATATTCCAGTCAACTCACGCCTGTGCGTAGCTTCCTGTGCTTTCTAGAGATTTGGTTAAATTCCTCGAGCACGACGCCAGCTGCCAGCTGTTTACTAGCGGTACATGGTAAAACCCGCGACGGAACCAAAAAGGACAACCGCGATACTTTTATCTGCCTCGGGTTTTAGTAGGTGCCTACCAAGGTTGCCTGTACTCTTTGGCAATGTTTGTTTTCTGCCTGTTTAGGCGAACTGAGCCACACGCCTGTTTCGACCGGTTCAAAATTTAATAAATGGTAACCAACGCACAAAGAAAGCAAGTTTCAAGTACTTTTTGAGATTTTTGAAGTGACTTTTACTCTTGAACGACTGCATACACTTGAATGTTCAATTCAAGAGTTTATAAAACGTGACTACACCATGCTTGTCACTTGCCAACAGGGTGGTAACGCTCAATGGCTCGAGCCCAGTGGGTAGTTGAGTAAGCCTGTGGGGTATTTACAGCCGTCAAAACGCATGATGACTAGGGGGGGTGCTCACTCTTTCTTAGAGTGTAGCTGTTCGTCAGATGCGGACCATTCAGCAACGGATGGGCCGTAATGGAAGGCCAGGTAGGGATTGGTATCGCGTTCTACACTGTTACCGGTGCGGGTGGGTCGTGTAGTGTCGTTGGCCAGTTTCATCGACTTTTGGGTGGTTGCTTGTTCGAGGAGGCGCCCATCGTGTTGAATGTTTGGGTAACCCCAGGACAAGACATTGTTTTCCACGTGCCGCCGCTGCTACCTGCTAGCAGGGGGGCTATGTTCAACAAATGTTTCGTTTCTCCTAAAAAGAAACGGAAGTAACGATATCGCGTCGAATTGGCTAGAGGCTCAAATGACCAAAGTGGGAACTTTCATCATTTGAGCCTCTATCCAATCAGACGCGATATCGCTACTTGCGTCACTTCTGTTTCTTTTTAGCAGAAACGAAACATTTGTCGAACATAGCCCCCCAGGAGTACGCGTTCCTCGTTAATGTATTTGTCCACCGCATCTGTGTCCACAGTCATTTCGTAATTCGCTACTTTTATATATTCAATCTGTTATAATGCATTAAACAAGATATATTTATATATCTGTGATTTTTATTTGGAGCTTTGGGTCCGAGGCTACTCCCTGTAGCTATAAAGGGAGCTCGGCGAGCTCCGTTTAACACAGGATTTCCCTTAGCGAAAGGGTCCTTTATGCGCCGTGTGATCACGTTCTCCAGCTCCCTTTACGACAGGTACCCAAGCTAAAGGTACCTTTACGCTGCCGTGTGATTTGGGAATTAGTCTCGAACCCAGTCGCGTGTCTCGGTGGCAGCACATATTCGCCAAGAGGTAGATTCAGCCTAGAGTCGGTGGCAGGTTAAGAGTGAAGTGGAAGCTCCTCGCACCTATTTCCACTTGATCAGGAAGGCTGGAGGGGAGGCTACCTCCTCTCCAGCGTTCGCTCTGTCGGGTGGAAAGAGGTTCGAGAAGCTTCCAATTCGTCCTTGACCTGTTACGGACTATTGGGCCCTTATCGGGATGGTGAGTCTACGCAAAGACAACAAGCTTGTGAAACGTGGTCATTCTATTTTCGCGGGTTGCGTTTTGGACCCTTTATTAACGCGAAAGCATGTACTGTCCCATGGAACGAAGCCGACATTAGGGAGTTTTAGAAGAACGTACGCAATTTTAGCGCACGCTAGCGCTAAATTTAGCGCTTGTATTAGCGCACGCGACGCAAGAGAGTTTTAGAATAGCGTTTCTCCGCCGCGACGCAAAAGCCCAAGCATCTCGCGCTTGCGACGCCATCAAGATACAGTAAAATTTTTTATTTCACACACGAAATGCTGTTACTTTAGAAAAAAAACGAGTTTTTTGGTCCAGAGTAGCATTTTAATTTGTTTAAACATGAGAACGCGACGTGAGCGGTTGAGCGGTCGTGTCCGCTTGCGTCGCCTCGGCAAGAGAGGTCTCGTGTACTGACCTTCGCACATCGTACCTTCGCCGTGAAATGTTCGCGCGTAGCAAGCATCAAGTTGTCGGTAATCGCTGCCAAACCGAGTACAATGTCGTCCCGTATTGAAAATTGCAGTCGCGAGGATACCGCCGACGTCGCACTTACGACGCCGCCAAAGCAGCCGCCGACATAATCCTGGAAGCCGCCATGTTTTTTTAACTGTGCTCGTCTTGGATTTAGCCAACTGCTCATCACGAATCCTGCTAGGAGAAGCGCAAAGACTCTTTGCGTACGCACGCTATTTCCGAGAAATAGCGCACGCTAAAATTGCGCACGCAAAGCGCAAAACCTGGTTGGCGTTCGGAGCATGCGCAGTGGCGACGACGCTATTCTTTGCGTACACAAAGCTTTAGCGTGCGCTATTCTAAAACTCCCTATTGTCTGCAGCAGCGAAAACCGGCACCTTCATTTCGTCTGTAGCCGCGAAAAACGACACCTAAGTTCCCATTGGCTGAGCGAAACGACACCTGAAGTCCCATTGGCCAAAAGCACGGTAACAAGGATGCTTCGTCACGGAAGCCGGCCGGGCGCTCAACATGAAAGCGGACTCTCATCAGAAATAAAACACAAAGAACAGCACAGCAACGCGGATGCATCGTCACGGAAGCCGTCAAGCACGCAAGGCAAGACACGCCTGCCCAGCAGAGTTGCGTGATGTCACCGCCGGAACGCCATATGTGATAGGAACACGTGCCGCGCTGCTTGTAGGAATGTGCTGCGTGTAAGAATGTTTTCGCATTCCTACACTTAAGCAGCCTGTAAGTGCCTTTCTGTAATTTGTTCACTGGGGGAGCTCAAACCAGTCAAATTTGGACCTCATTCAGCGTGCAAATGGGAGAGTCAATGATCCGGGTAGGAGTAAGATTTACGACCGTTTCTGTTCCTGTTAAGTTTACTATCTCTAATTATACCAATGCGACGTCTGAGTGGGATACTTTATGGCGATTACAGGGCCATATCCAATCCGAACTGTTTTTAACGGTAGATTGCGCAATGTGGTAGTTCGATTTTTACCCGCTTTATACACCAACACGTTGATTGTGGCCACTGCGCATGCTCAGTGCCAACAGCAGTGCCACCGCAATGGAGTGACGTCAGAAAGATGTGCTGGTGTATAGTCGTGGCAACTTAGCAAAGTGGGGGTCGTGGAAAGTCTCCAGAGCCTTGTCATCCGTGCGCAGTTAAAGTGATGCTGAACCGAAATCTGGATTCAACAAAACACGGCGGCAAAAGCACGCAACGGGGTGCTACAAACACCAAAACATCACTCATGCAGCGATATCTCGAACAGATGACCGTATTTTAAAAAAAAAAAAGGAGGCGCATTTGACAGATTTCTTTTCGCCTTGTTTCTTCGAGAAGGAGAGGGAACGGCCTCGCGTCTTCTACTCCTTACTGCTTTGAGGGGGCGAAGCGAGGAGGGGAGGAAACGAGATATCTTGACGTCACGCGCCTCGTCAGCCTCGTTCAATCTCGACCTCTTTTTCCAAAAGTACAGTCGACCACTCGAAATATCGTCTTACAAGTAGTGTTGTAGGGATTGCAACGTCCCGAAAACATCTCCTGCATTGTTCTTTTAAAATCCAAATCCAAATAGCTGACAAGAACGCCTGACAATGAATCACGCCGCGAGAGGCGTGAAGGCAATGCGGAGAGGAAATCGTCTGCTTCTTGCATAAAAGCTGTAGTGACGTCAGAACTACTCTGAGCTCTGATTGGCTTTGATTGAAAAGATAATGGGTAGGCCTCAATGCTAGATGCCAGGTCTAACCACTATTTGTTTTTTGTTGATGTTGTTGTTGTTTTTTTTTTTCAATCAGCCAATGCGAGTTCGGCGTTCTGACATCATTGCAACCCCTGCGCAAGAAGCAGACGAACTTGCGCTCTGCATAAGCTACACGTTAGTGTTTCTTTAAGGGGCACTCAAGTGGATTCTAAGATCATCTATTTCTAATGATGACTCAATCTACGGTTCATTAAGCACCCTAAAAGCCCGAAATTACACTTATGGGCGGGCAATTTACTTCTCACAAGTCTATTCAGAGATTCGTGACACGACACCTCTGTCTGCACCTTGGAGCACACACCAGGGGGCGCCGTCGGACGGCGATCTCGAACGATAATTGCCGTGTTACGTCTCCCACAGCAAAAGATTTTACGTGTTTGTTGAAATATAATGCGCAACGCGCCTAAAAAGAGCAATAATAGTAACGTTCCCAATCTCCTCTTCATGAACTATTTTCATTGGTCAAATTTTATGAAGGTTGCAGGAACCCGAGAAATGGCACCTACGTGAGAATTTAGTGCCCGTTGAGTTCAATTTCTGTGAGTTTAAGAAGACGTCTTCCCTCTAGAACTGGTCATTTTGCTTGACTAGAGCCCAACAAACAATTTGCCACCAAAAACAAACTTCTACATAAGGCACCAAGGGCCCCTTTAAGTGATCAGTGACTGTAGTTGAACGGTGCACGATTGAAATGTTTAAGAAACTGAATCTTATATTTGAACGAGTTCATGCCATCATCATGTTTCATCGAATGTGAACTGTTTTGTTGTAACTTAAGGAAAGTATAATTTCAGAAAGAAATGCCCTTTAGACATTATGGCATGGTACTGTCCAAAGACCAACAAACAATGTGACACCAAAAGCAAGCTTCTACATAAAGCCCTCGACTGTAGTTGAACGGTGCATGATCGAAATGTCTGAGACCTTCGATCTAATATTTGAACGAGTTAGGCCATCATCAGGTTTTATCAATTGTGAACTGTTTTGTTGCAAATTGTTGCATGTATAATTTCAGAGAGAAATGCCCATTGGACAGTACGGCATGGTATCGACGCCGGGAAGAGGACCTTGGATTGTCTTCCACAGACTATGAACACTGCAACTCGCCAACGACCATCCCTTTTCTCCGTTGCGTCCATACGCCGAAATTAGCTCAGTGGCAGAAGCTACAAGTCATGTGACTGTGTTACATGTTACCACGCGGCATCGGCAGTACTAACAGGACCGAGCCCCAGATTCGAACCTTACGGGAAAAGACCCGCAAGAGACTGCAGTCAGCGAGGACCATTACGGACGAGCTCCTTTATTATCCTTTTGTTTCATTTGTGACAATAAAATTTTTTCTGCGACCTTGTGGAATTTTCAACAAAAAACTAAGTCCCTGCCACAAGTAAAGGCACCGGTACTATACTGAGCAGACACTTTAGTGATATTTGGGCGATTATAGCCCTAAAGATAGAAACCACAAAAATATATAGAAAAGTAATTGTTTTGAGTGAATGTTTATAGACAGCCGGAAGTTAAATAGCCGCATTCGGCGTCTGGTGTCTCGGTTGTAGGCGAGACATTTAGTGAGTGCTGTACCACTTTTAGCCTATTCCCGTTTGCTGATCAATGTGGGTATCTCTCCCGGCACAAAATCCCTCCTGAAGAGGGATTTAGAAATCATGTGACCGGCTCTGTGGTGAGAAAGTACTTAGCGTTCCAGCCGGTTCCTCACCAGACTTGTTTTCAAAAATATACGGAAGAGTCAGACAAAGACGACGGACAGGACAAACATCTTTCGACTTTCAACACGTTGAGGTCTTTATTGCCAGGCTACACTGTAGCCAGGCCGACAAGCAACGAGCTGCCAAAGATTTGGGGAAAGGGTTAGTGTACATAACTTCGTGTTCGCACGACTCAACGTCCCTTTGTTTACGAGTCACATATATTTTACCTAAAACAAAATCGTTAAGTACAACACTAGAGAGTTGAGGTTGTTGGTACATTTCTGTAAATAGATCAGCTTGAAATTTAGAAGGATACCGTCTTTTCCTGTCCTTTCTTCGTGTTTAAACAAAATGCTAAAGTTCAATCTGATCTATTTACACGGTATAAAATGTTGTGGCGAAGTGTAGTAGGTCACATAAAATACCCATGATTGGTACAACTTTGTGCTGCAGTATTAAAAGTTAAATCAATTGTGTCCTTGAACTAAGGAATTAATTACAGTTCATAAAATCATGAAATGGGCACCTCGTAACCATATATATCATGAAATATGGTTTACGAAATACGTGCTGTATATATATATATATATATATATATATATATATAGGGTGAAACAAGGAGACGGCAGGCTCTTTAAATCGACCGGAAAATTCGGTTTCTTAACCTATCGCGCTACGACTTTGTGCAGAGTTGCCCGCAGATGGTGCATACATTTTTTTTTTTTTTTTGTAGAATTTGCGAAGAGCGAGCTTACCTGAGGAAAAAGTAAAGAAACAAAAAGGCTTAACTCCTATGGAAACGCAGCGACGCCACCGGTCTGCAAACAATACGGCGCTGTTTCGCACGGGAGACAAGAGATGGCGCAACAAACGCCGCCAACGTAAAGTCCCTTACGCCAACGAACTGGGATACGGCGCCGAGAGCAGGTATTTTTTGCAGACGATATTTTCGACTCAAAAGCGGCGCACGTTCCGCAGGCGGCGACAATCACAGAAACAAAAAAGACAGGCGCGGTAACAGCAAGTAACTGCAGTTCCTTGTCTGCAAAGGGGCCGGCTCTCAGCGTTGTCTGCCCGTTCGTTGGCGGCAGTTGGCGTCGCAACCGCTTGCGCCATCTCTTGTCTCCCGTGCGAAACGGCGCCGTGTTATTGGCAGACCGGTGGCGTCGCTGTGTTTCAATAGGAGCTAAGCCTTTTTCTTTATTTACTTTTTCCTCGGGTAAATTCGCTCTTCGCAAATTTTACAAAAAAAAAAAAAAAATCACCATCTTTGGGCAATGCTGCACAAAGTCGTAGCGCGATCGGTTAAGAAACCGAATTTTCCGGTCGATTTAAAGAGCCTGCCGTCTCCTTGTTTCACCCTGTATATATAAGGACGACACAACTGAGCTGAAATTTTGAAAATGTCACGGAAGTTTTAGGACAATCTCTTTCAGTCTATCTTTTATAGAAACACCGAGCGGCAATCACAATGCTTGTTTTTCTAACCAAACATTGTTTACACACAGCACCGTGATACATGCGACTAATCATGTATAAATAGGGTTGTTCGTTTTCGGGTTTTACATATATATATATATATATATATATATATATATATATATATATATATATATATATATATATATATATATATATATATATATATATATATATATATATATATATATATTTTTTATCTTTTTTATTTTTTTAATTTGGAAGGTGAAAATTGAGTGTTATTTTTCAACCCATAATCGGGGAGAAATTGTTTTTTTGTAAAAACATTCCCAAATTCTGGTTTTTTCTGGTTAAATTTACAAATCTACTCAGTTTTACATTCATTTATTTTATATTTTAGCGTATTACGAGCCCTTTAACGCTAACGCATTAAAATTTGGGCTCTGTTTCAAGCTAGTAATCGGGGAGACATCGGGGTTTTCCAGCTCCAATTGCCGTTGGTCGCTTCAAGGAAAGCACTGCCCACGGAATCTTCCTCTCCCTGTGAACAAAAACCCAGACCGTTCGAGGGACGTTCGTCTTCGGTCAGATATTTCGCTACGGAACAAACTTGTTAGGTTTTCCCGATCTCAGTGATGTGATTGGCCTAAGCACTTCTGGAGCACCTTTCGGAGCAGACAAAACAGTGTTTTGGAGCAGCAAAATTGGCCTTTGGAGCAGCCAAAACTTTGTTTTGGAGCAGCCAAATCAGTGTTTTGGAGCAGCAAAAGTGGCTTTTAAAGCAAATATTCTTAGAAAAATATAAATATTTTTTTAAGTGCTGGACAGATGAAAGGCACTTTGCTCGCCGCAATAAACAAGTTACGGTCAAGTTAGACCAGCTCTGAGTCTTTCAACATGTGAACTGAAATGCCAATGACATGACACATTTTGCAATGCTTCAGTTAAATGATAAACATATATGTACGTACCCGCTATCGATAAACAAGAGTCAAACTGCACATATTAAAATTTATTTGAAAATGACCAGCTTAATAGAAAATATCACAGCATTAGGTTTACTAGTTATATAATATAATAAAGCAAAGTAGTCTCCAACTGATCAAACACCAAACTACTGCAGTGCAATGCGGAACTGTACACAAGAAAAAGTTGCATTACGACTAGCGGGTGCTTTTCGTTTCGCTTTTCGAAACTTTCTGAAAGGCTGCTGCAAGCCTCGCTTTGCCTTCGACAAGTAATGAATGTCCAATTTCAATGTCTCCAAAGAGACATTGAGACGTCCCGCTGCAGGCGTTGCCAAGCAATTATGTAAAACCGCTTGCCAACATTTTACTGTTCCCGACGTGCCAGATTTTCGTTAAAATAAGCAAACGTAAAGCAATGGATTGCAAGCGACCCGGCTGGTGCCTCTCTCGTGCAATAATGTTCGCATGCACGTGAGGGCAACTTCGGCAGCTTGCAGTGGCATGTGCTTCGTCGCGCGAGCGGAGATGGCTGTTCGATCGAAACCGAAACCATGCCACTCCGCTCCCTCGCCAACTGGTTCCCAAAATAGTACGCAAAATGTAACTGTCCAGCAGCGCGTGCTTGCCAGGCCTGCAGACGAGATACAAGCTAAATACACCGAAAAAAAAAAAAAAAAAGAGCCTGAGCGCGTCGATGCAAGACATGGCGAGCCAGGGTGAAAAAGTTTTTGGAGCGCTTTGTGGAACGACTGAACTTGAGACGAACAAACGCGCTGTGCGGGTTCAGCGTGCAGACATTGCCTTCTTTGCTTTAGCTCAGTTCTCTTCACCAACTTTCTTTTCCGGTAGATTTTTTTATGTACCCGGGTCCCTCTCGAAAGAAAGCCCACCGAGAGAAACCTAGGTAATGAATACTTCGACACAGCAGTCTGAGTTAAAGAAGGATTTTTGTAGTAGCGTAATTTAAACAATAACAGGAATGTTGATGACCTTGCGGAGGTCCTTACGTTTCAGTTTAGAAAGCGCCATATCCGCAGCAACGTGGGCACGGCAACACCCGACGTCATGCAACCACGGTGACTGGTAGGCAGGGACCAAATATAGTTTTCCGACAACCATTGCTTTGAGTCCATATCACCTGAGCGAATGACGTTTTAGCGGAGAGTAATAATTGAGCGAATCGACGTTTTAGAGAATAACAAAAGCGCGCGGATGCCGAGGTCGTGGCCAAGTGTCCTGCGTCAAGCGCCTTGGCACTGAGTCCGTAGCCAAACTTAGCCAGTTGGTCAGTCTCGTGAAGCTGTAACTCCCTCAAGGCATCAAATGAAGCTTGTTGTTGTGATGTGGCAGGAGTCGCCGTTTCGATGCTTTCGAAGCTTGGGAATGCGAAGCACTTTCCAGGAGTTCCTTGGCTCAGCCAGTTGTTGCGAATGCATTTCAACAAGTGTACAGGGTCCACGATGAAAAAGAGGGGCCTGTCTGTGTCTGCTGGGTGGCTGTAGACCATATTGAATTTGGCGTGGGTGGCGAATTGTGACATCATCTTGCGGTTGATGGCATTATTGTCGGTTACGACGGCGATGATCTTGAATCCTACACTCTTAGAAAAAAGGGTCAGTATAGTCCTCCTTAAAGGGAGGAACGCTCTTGACACATATGTTCCTTCAGAAAGGGAGAAACTTTCGTCCCTTAAAGGGACACTGACACCCCCCAAAATTTTTTTTTAATTTTTTGCCAGGCGCTTCATTATGGTGTCGGAGGACTACCCAATTAATATTTTGCAACAGAGTAGCGTATTTTTTTAATAAAGCCAAAAGACGCAACTGCGCGAAACCGAAACCGAAACCCGACGGAGGTCGGAGAAGTGGAGAGAAGAGAGTGAGCGGCGGAAGTCACGTGGCTACACCCGACCGTGTGCTTTTTTTTTTTTCTCCTTCCCGGTAGCAGACGACATGCGGCGTACGGGAACTGTTCGCCGTGGGATTCTTTTGCAGTTATGTATGTTCCGCTCGTCGTTCTGTACTCCAAGATGAGTTGTTTTGTACATTGAGGAGTTGGAGATGAGTAGTGAGTGCCCGTGGTGAATTTTGATCGGCTCCGAAAAGAATACACCCAAGATGTTGCGTGAAGAGCTGGCTCACATGTCCTGCGTCCGAAACAGAAGTGGCATTGTGCGACAGAGTTTCCGAAAGATCAACGGGATCGGGACCAATGGCTGGCTGCAATTCCTGTAGACCATTTACGGGCGCCTCGGAATGCGGACGCTGATTTATATGCTCCTTGCATTTTGTGGAAAGTGATTACATTGAGTTCGCAGGTGTCAAAAAGGAAATCCCATACCATTTAATTCAGCGACGTGTCGTCCACAACATTTGTTTCTTTTTTTTTTTTGTTTCTTCGATGATAATTGTAAAAAAAAAGAAATGTAAACATAAAAAAAAAATATTTGAAAAAAACAAAAACAAAAGTTTTACGAGGGATCGAACCCGGTCCTACCGCGTGCGAAGCGGATGTCTTTCCCACTGAGCTACTAGGGCATACCAAACTGGGGTTTCTCTCCTTGGTGATAATTCAGCCAATAAAGTGTAAGAAGTTTGCTGCCGATTTTCCTCTAGCAAAAGCACTCCCGGGTCGAAGTCGGGATGCACCACGCATTGGCGACATTCTCACCTAGTAAAGAAATCGTACGCGTGCATATTCAACTCGAAGTAGACACGTCGTGCTTGACGTTTGCACGAGCGATGTCTTCAGCCACGAGAAGGGAGCGACGGCTCGGCGACGTCTTCGTGCAAATCGGCTTGGTGGTCGGGCGTGTCGTACAAGATGAATACCAATTCTTTTGATTAGTCCCAAATTTCTCTTTTAAAAGCAGACAAAATTCGCCGGTACCGCGAACGACAGTTCTGAAATAGAGGTCCCAAGCCCGTCGTCCGCTGCCATCGCCGCCCCTGCGAGTCCCACGATACGCGAAACGACGCACGCACAGAATGCTTCCGGTTGTCTGTGGAACTTTTTTTTTCAATCAACGTATTTGCAGCTTTTTAGAAGCCACAAAAAATGGGTTTCATATTTTTTTCTATTTTTAATACTGAGTGTTTGCCTTCAGTGACCCACGACTTTGATTAAATTTGGTGGTCGCATCGATACCTTAGAAAACGGCCCGTGATCGCGGAAAAGAGAGTGAGCGAGACTCGAACCGGCCAGTTCTTGATCGGCGGTTTTCGGGCGGAAAGAAACCGAATTTCGAGCCGCAAATTCTGTTCTGGGTAGTTGAGCTCTCATATGTCACGTACAACTAAAAACCTCGGCGAGCATAAATACCCTGTCAGTGTCCCTTTAAGCAGGGGAGGAAAAGTTCCTCCGTCGACTGCATCTCATTATGGCGGCCACGAATCGAGCAAATCGAGCTCGGTAAGGCTTAACGAGAACACTAAGTCTATTGCACGAAGCGAGAAGAGCAGGAAATAAAAACGTAACACGAGCTTTCCGCGAACTGTATTTATTTCCGAAGTTTCTTTACCCCTGCAGTAAAGAAACTTACGTTTCGAAAGCATGCAGTCACTCAGTCTTCTCATCGTCAGCACTGCGATGTTCAACGGAGACAACCGGCACTCAGTTCGCGCACTTTATGTCCTACCTTTGCTATTCCTCGAGCCACAATTCCTTCGTCAACCGTAGCGTCAACCGCACATCACGGAGGAGTGAAAATCATTCGCCCGCAAAACCAAAAGCCGCTCTCAAAAAAAAGCAAATCCGAAGCAACCTCTTGGCTTATCTCAGCACGGTAACACGAAATTATGGCGTAGCCGCGTAGCGTAAAAGGATGTTAAATCGCTTGCCACCAGATGGCAGGGTCAAGCAGAGTAATCGCACGTAGCTAGGCTAGGTGGCGCTAGGTACCGCCCAATTCATGTTTTACAAAAAAAAATATTTTTACTTTCTTACGCCTCAATTGCGTTTCCTTTTCTTCGGAATCTCTAACACATGTAGACACGTTGCGTACACTACAAACATCAGGTCAACATATATTGAACGCATACACAGGCATCGCACATACAAACATCAATACAACAGCACACTACCCCGATCACTACTACCGAGCCCTGCGTTTCCGTCTTTTATAGTGGTCGTTTTGAACGTACGAAATTTTTCGGTGACTCTCTAAGCAAAAAAAAGTATTCCGAACATGTTCATTTTTTTTTTCAGCAATGTCATACATCTGAGGCTATTTTTAATGGCTCAGGGGATGAATCTCTTATTAAAAAGAAGACGCTCGATCATGCCATAATTATTTGAAAGCCAATAAATCAAGCCGCTCCAATGTGGTTCCAAGCCATGAGTTTGTTTTCCCGCATGGCCCTTCGTAGCCAGTATTTATATTGTAGTGTTCGTTTTTCTATTTGTGCTGTTCGCGCAAAGCTGCAATTGCCGTCTTGAATTAATCTCTGCAGAGCGGATATCCACTCAGCTGAAAGTGATGCTTCACGGGCACAGAAATCGCTTTTCGATCAACTTGAATGCAGTCAAAGCCGCGACTTCCGACAACTGTTAAGTGTACGGAGCTGCGCCGCTGCGAGCTCGAAAACTTCTAGCGCTCATCCCAGCGCGCCACTTAAGGGCAGTTTCTACAGGAACCGTAATATATTTAAACAGTAAAATAAAGGATAGCGTTTTTTGTTTTTTTTTTTTCGATTTTGCCTGTCTTTTTTTTTAATGCTAAACTTCCATTATAAATATACGTACTTTCAGTCATACTTTCGTAGTGTTGTCTTTTCCCCAGAGCGCAATCGCTCTCGGGGACCGACAGTCACATTGGCCACTGTACGATAGGAGCTTACCGTTCAGACCAGCGTTCCAACATGACTATCCACACGTCGATCGACTGCACCTAATCCCTCAAGTGGTTTTAAACTCTTTAATGTAAAGCGGAATGTCATCCTGCGACACCCCGGCCCCTCCGATAACGGCCCGACCAGCGGCATCAATGCCCGACAGTTTACGTCATCTCGTCTTGTTGTTACACCACTGATACGCGAACACACGGTCACATCGGCGATAATTCCAGTCTTCTGTTCACAACCCACAACACTGCCATCACGATGTCGCTGACACGAAGAAATACAGAACCACGTTGACGATGTTGCTGACACGCAGAAGAATCACGTTGAACGCCGGTTGGCACTCGGCACGGGACAACGGAACCGAACTCAGCACGGAAGGCACCCAGGCAGCCGGCAGGAAAACCTGCCTTCCTTGGACGCAGTTCCCGCGATTTCCATAACGTCGAAAACGTCGACACAGTTCCTCGTGGTTTCGCTGCTGTAGTTCCGCGTGTGTCCCGCAAATTAGAGACGACCGTCTTACCCAGTGTATGTAGCACTGCTGGCACTGCTCCGGAACTTCGCTGTTTCTAGCGGCTTCATTAGCTCGTTTGATAAAATTAGTGGTAAAAACGTCAATGCAACCGAAATGTTCTGCACGTTTGGACTAGAAGACGGAATTACAGGCGGCCTTCGCTGCCGCTGAAGCTCAATCAACTCAACATTAATTTATTAAACAACGTGCGCGATCTGCTCGAAAAACGAAACCGAAAGATGGATCGGGAGGGCGAAAGCTTTCTCCGGTCTGCCTGGAGGAGGAAAACGTCTCGGAGAATAATAAGGACTTTAATTTTCCTTTCATCGGTATGGGTTTGTTTATGTGTGTTTTGATAAACAAAAATAAAAAAAAAACTTTACAAAAAACAAAAAAAACAAAAAAGAAAACCACTTTCCCGGGGATCGAACCGTTGACCACTTGGTCAGTAGCGCGATGTTCTACCCCTGCGCCAACTGAACAAGGAGGAACTCGTCCTCCTCCTTTCATGTGAACTTCCGTTCCTCCCTTCTCTGGGCAACTTGTCCGCAACAAGGAGGAACAGTCGCTTTTGCTACCTTTCTCCTCCCTTTTTTCTTAGAGTGTAGTGCCTCTAGCCTTAGAATAATTTTCTTCACGAAGCAGTGCAGCTGTTGGGCATCTATCTGGCACACAGGGAGGACATGTACGACATCTTTGTTGGATGACAACAGGCTCTGTATCATGAACACATGTGCTGTTCGTGCTGCTTTGCATGAGTTGGCAGAGCTGCCTTGGACATTTCCTCCCTTATAATCGATGTAAGGTTTTAAATGTACTTCATCCAACATGAGGGTGGCAACTTTTTCGTGATCCTCAAGGTGTTCACTTTGCTTTTTTATGTAAGACAGAAGCTGTTCATCGTCTTGCTCTGTTGAGGGGTTCAGCTGTTGGTTGGAACACAGTCTCCTGATCGTAGAGGGATGTGGCAGCATGATACGGGAGGTGCCCCTCATAAACTTGTACGCGTGTGGCGAAATGGTGTATATGAGGCTTGCAAAAATGAGAAAGTCTGGTGCATACTTGGGCTTTTTTCTCAGGAGCACATCTACCTGTTGGCACAAAAATGCCAGCGCGTCTGCGATGTCCTGAACTTCATTGTCATTCCTGAGGTCATCAAGTAACGACAGGATGAGTCCAAGAATGGCGTCCTTCTTCTTGCTGGTGCCAGATGATGTGGCCGACTTGTCGAATGCTCTGATGTTGTCGAGCAGGTCAACCAGCGTTTTCAGACTGGTGATGGTGGTCGGTATCCAAAAGGCGCCTGAAAGCTTGGTTGTCTTTGTGCTGTAACAGTATACTGATACCGTTAAGTCAGGCTTCACAGTAACGGAGTACTTCAGCTGTGGGGCGTTGTTGGGGTCTTGGTTGATGTTCAGGAATGTAACACCTTGGTCGTTTTGAATGCAGTTCCAGAAGGGAGTAGCATTGATGTCTTGAATTTGGTCTATGAGTTGGTCAAATGAGATATCATTTTCCTCATTGGGTTCTCTTGGTCTCTTTTCAGGTGGCTCTGCCAGTGGTGGTTCTTGGGGCAGTGAAGAGGTGCTGCAGGCAAATATTGTCGGCACAGCATTGTTGGAAAGTCTCGGTCTATCGAGACGGGCTTGGAGGACTGCTCCGGTTCTGGGGTCTGTGTACTGTGTTGACGTGATCACGAATCTGTCTTCAAAGTGTGCTGCACACACCTACAATAAAGAAAGTATGACTGTTTCATGTGACTGCTGTTATGTGGTAGCCAAAGCAGCTGTAGAATTTGGTGAAGAATGTGAAATAATTTTGTAGTGATTGTAGTGAGGCATTTGACTGTTTCATTGCCTGTTACGAAAAAAAATGTCTCCACTTTTTTTCTTTTTTGACAATAAAATTTCTGGCATTATTGAATTTTAGATAGTTGTTCTTGATTTACGGTTAGCTTTTTATAACGCATGTTCGCCACTGAAGGCATCAATATATTTCCTCAATCCAAACTGACCCTTTAGCGAAGGAAGCTAGTAGATTGTCCTTCAAATGATGTAAAAGCATAGATGAGTGCCATATATTTGCACTACATTTCAAGTAGTGCAAGAAAGAGTGAATAAGGAGAGTTGTACATATAAAACAAAACTAAGTAATCGAGGTGCTTATATATATTATTTCCATTTTGAATGCTGGTGTATCAAAGCTACATTTGTTTTTACTGTACTGGAGTGCTCTGTGAATGCTCTGTGCACTGTATGTTAGTTAAGCAGAGAAGTTTATATTGCTGGTGGCCTACATCATTCAGCATATCCCGTCCACCGTAAATTACGGGCTTGAGTTGAGCTTATTGGTGAATTATACTATAATTATAAATAATATATGCCTAATAATAAATATAATGTAAGTTTGTCCCCTTTTCTCCCATTTTTTTCCTCTTTTTTTTTTTCTTGTTCCATAAGTTCATCTAACCATGCGTCAATCGAACCTGGCCGAACCTGGCACCTTAGTTGGGGTTCCAGTTGGACTCCTCGGGCAGCGACAACTCTAACTAGCAGTTGTTTTGATATTCTCTCTCATCAAATATTCAGCTTTTAATTTCACAGATTACTAAAGTCACGTGGAATATAATACTTCAGTGTTTTTCTTGGGGTAGAGAGGAGTGCATGACTACAAAGGAACTATAAAAGAGGTGAAGGTGTTCTCTGCAGTGATTGTGCACTGTTGGGACTACCCCTGAGGAATGAGCCTGTAGCGTAGAAAAGTGCCTGCACTGTATGAACGCACGTGCGAGACCGGAATGCGCAGAGCGTTGGGCTGGTTGGGCACGCGTCTCTAGCTTTTTCTTAATTCGCTCGCACGGGACACCGTTCAAAACAAGAAAAACACGATCAAAACATGAGGACTACGCTTCGATTTAGTGGAGTCCGTATTTCGAACGTTGCCGGCACGCAACATCGAAACAGCTGCCCGGTAGGACCCATTCACAGGGCAGCGTTTTCTTACGCTACGTTACGAATGCAAGTCTCCTCGACTTCGACATTCGTGCTGCATATATGTGCCGTGCGCGAAGTTACACTGAACCGGTTGTCATATGCGCCATTAAGCACTGAATATGCAATTCCTGTACCGTGGTGCTCTGAAAAGGTTGCGAAATTACATATCGTACCCCGCGTCAATTTTTCTGTGCGACGTTGAAACTTTCTGATCGGCTCGCAGCTCGACTGTATGATCAGCATCACGCCGACGATGTCGTCAGTAACTTGGCGCTGCAGCACTGCGGAAGCTACACTTTCTTCGTGAACGGTGGGTATAGTAAGCCCAAATTGCGACAGAACGTCAGTTTGCAGATGTACCTGCCGAGTTCGCGAGTGCGCTCTTACGTCAATAAACAAGAGAAGGAAAAAAAAAAAAAAAAAAAAAAACTTCAATAAAACAAACTGTATACGTGCATTTCCTCGCCCGTCCTTATCGAGATCCCATCTCGTGTCGAATACGAAAAGAAGTTTCTATCAGTGTAACCTCGTAGTTCTTCAACTAAAGAGGCAGAAGAGCCAATGCTTGAATGTACTACGTGCGCACCTTTGAGCGTTCGGACACTACACTCTCCTTCGGCAGTGCTTGCAGCCACTGCTGCCTTCGGGTTTCATCGGTCGGGAACGAAAAAACTGGCACTGAACTATAAGACTTGTGCTTATTTCCTTGGCAATTTTTCACGCAGCAGTGGAACGGCATTTCATCCGATTTTTTCGACCTTCGCGGGTCGAGCGTCTGACGATACAGCGGCAGTGCTGTCAACCGCTCTAGCAGACGATGTAGCAGACGACGGCGCTCATCCGGGCTACCTAGGGGGCGCTCGGGGGATCTACTAGTGATGACGTTTAGAGGAGGAAACGCGCAGGCCTTGTGTTCTAGGTGGTATTGGCTGGCTACCCCCCCCCCCCCCCCCCCCCCCCCACACACACACACACACACACGCGAGCTCAGTGACAAAGCGCGGTGGCTGAGACCATAGAGTTATTATAATGTACGCTAGAGGTTCAACTGGCGCTAGTGTCTATGTGACTTCCGGGAGGCAAAGTGAAGCAGACAGCAACCAGTCTACTTTTGCGGTGCTCCCGTGCATTCCTATGGGAAAACGCGCGTGAATTTTGTCTCTTCGCCAGAAAATAACATAAACAACTTCTGTTATATCGGTTGTAAATGATAGTATGTACCTTCATTAATATTGTAAAAGTGTAATTGTTTTAATTACAGCATTTTTCTTTACTACTGAGCGATGTTAAGCTTCGCTATATTTCAGGCCCAAACCTCTGTTTTATGGCAGGTATGTAAAAACGAGCGACGATTCTAAGCAAACTAACGACCGAGAGGAGTGTAGAGTGTGTTCAAGGTTGGCTAGCATTCCGGTGGCGCTTATATATTGCTAATATGCCCGTCCTGTCACTCTATAAAAATGACTCCGTCTTGCATCTTTACGTTCGGTTAAAGAACTTTCGAATGTAAAAAATAAAGTACGTGGGCTACGAAAGGTGTCTTTTTTATTATTTCCTATGTCAGACAGTTTTTATCGGGCACCTGTTCTCGGACTTCTCCCTATTTGCAGAGATTTGGAGCGTGCGGTTGATGATTTCAACCCAGAACGTGCATGTTCGCACATATTCATGACCAGAAAGAATAAAGCAGTACTTATTTATGGCAAATCGGACTATACTACGTGGCTTTCAATTTATTTTGATCGTCTGCGTGCACAAGGAGTTACTTATCCAGTGTTACTGCGTAGTTCTTGCTGTCTCTCTTGGTTTTCCACATGTCCTTCGTTCGTTTGACACGTATATCCCCCATGGTGGAAAGCGCCGACGCCGTGTTCGCGCTAACAGTGTCCGACAGTGCACATAAATACATGTACGAAGCGGTTTTAGCACCGTTTTTCATGCCACGAATTTCAAATAAAAACGCCGTAACTGACCAATTATTTCATCTGCGTGACTGAGAAATGTTCCAATATGCCTAGTACGTACGAAATATTCGTGATATTTGCTCTTATAATTGAGCGCAGCGAGAAAATGTACTCGCTTTTTCCCATAGAAATGCATTACCGGAAGTCAATATCTGACTGGTTGCTGTCTGCTTCAATTTGCAGCAGCACACTAGCGCCAGTTGAACCTCTAGCGTACATTATAATAACTCTATGGCTGAGACGGCTGAAGCAGAGGCGCAGTAGACAGCCAGCGAAGCGCTAACACACGCGCCTGGCGCTGACTCTTGTTATCAGGAGCGCGTCGAAAAGAAACGAGCGAAAGAGACATGTTTGCGAGCACGAAGGGCGCGCATGCGCAAACCGTGTCTCCTTAATGCGGCGGCGCGCCGTCGGATGGCGCGGCGATGCATTTCGGCACGCGCTCCCGCGCCCCGCAAACTTTTGCTCCCGACTGTACCTAGAGCACTATATAGCTCCTACGGAGCAGAGTAGCGCAATCCTTTGAACCTCGTGTTTTGCCGACAAGATGGCCGACAGAGCGGCTCGGCGCGAGTCACGTGGTACTCAGGGTTCCAAGAGGCGGCCCGCCCTATGGGAGAATACATGGAGATCGATACAACACGGCTGATTAAAAAATGAACGGCGAGTTCACACTTTTCAAAACTAGTCTGTCGTGAAGTTAGTAAACCACTAAACACTTTGTCAAAGCTTTAATAATATCGGATGCGTGTGCAAATTTTGAGAAGGCAATTTCCAAGGCAATGGCGTTTGAAGCAGACGATTTTTGCTCGCAGCGGAGATGCGCTTTTCGGGTTGGCCGGAGCGGGTCACGTGAATGGTGTGACGTCGCCGTGTCGTCTGCTGCATGATGCCGCACAAGCAATTTTAATAAAAAAGTCAGGTCCTTGCGGGGCACAAAACTTAGCGCAAATTATTCTAAAATGTTCCATTATTATGTCAAAAACAATTGCCATTCCGTACATCGCCACAATACTGAAGAAACAACGATTTTCTCACGTTCTCCATGCATTTCTGACCGCAGTTGGAACCTCCGGGCGTTCGCCGCTAGTCGCCGAGAGACGGCGTTCTAGATTGCGCTACTCTGCTCCGAAGGAGCTATATAGTGCTCTAACTGTACCTTGGCATTCTAAAACCCACCCCGCGTTTTTCAATCTGTGTTGTCACGTGACGCAATCTGCCGGGTTAAGTCGGAACAATTTGAGGAAGATTTGGAACACGATTTGGAACACAGCCATTCCCGTAGTCGGTTCGAGTAAATTTTGGAACGTTTGGAACACAGCGAGTCCAGCGAGCAGAGCGGGAGTCATGTCAAGTGACAACAAAAATAGAGCAAATATAAACGCGGGGACATTTTCGAACGCCGTAGGTGAGAAACACTTACTCTGGAGTAAGACAAGGTACCTTTTGGAACGCGACGGCATGGATGTTATGTTTTTGTTCGCGTTTTGCTGCGATTCTGTGTTTCTTTGTGGTTCGTGTTGGGCGGTTGAAGTTGAACCGTTGGACACTTCATAAATGTGCTTCGTGTCAGAGGTTATATGTGGAGCTTTGTGGTGCACGAGCGGCGAATGCAGTGGAGCCTACAGCGTCAACGGACATGGTAACGTTTCGTGACAGCTTCTCTAGAGCTCTTCTCGGGCTCACGACATTTCTCACGGTAACCGGGAGAACCATGTCTCCGAAATTGTACCGCTAGTCGCCTCCCGTTGGTGGTGGCAATCGACTGCTCAGATTAGCTCTTTTCGGTAATGAGCCGACGCAGACTGGCCGTTCGCGGCGGGCCAGCACGCGCCCCAAGGATACGCGCGCGACGAAATCGTAATAAGGAGTTTTCGTAGACCGCGTTTCCCCTTCCGCTAAGCCCTCCGCAACGAAGATGCCGCTACTGCGCCTGCGCGCCAGTGGCCTCGACTAGAGTTCCGGTGTCGTAGTGGGTTGCGGAGAGCGTTGTGGGAAGGTGAAAACGATCC